TTCTAAAAAAAATATTAATAACAATTCTATGTTGTGGCAAGATTATTTTTTTGTTTTATGTAAATTGGTTTCTTCTTTTTATTAAAATGTATCGCAAAACACAAAACTACATATTTATTTTAGGTGCTAAAATAAAACTACGTTACAAAAATGTATTTTCATTATTTTTTTGGAACATTGACGACTTTACAATTTTCGGTAGGTAGTAAATAATGGGGTTGTCCCTAACTTAATTTATATTCTGTTAGTTATGTTGATGTAAAATTTTGTTAGTATGACAAAAGTTGACGATTTTAGAAAGTGATAGTTTTAGCAGAAAAATAAAATTGTGGAACGCTTTTGTGAAAATTTTTTTGATAAATTAAAAAAAAATGCAAAAGTAAGAAATAAGATATAAAAATGTGAAGACTGTGACGGTTGGTCGGTTTCATTTTCTAAACCTCTATGTTTTACAATATTAATTAATAAGAGGACGGTGAGAAATTTTTATAAAACTACTGAAAACGCAGAAAAGGGATTAAACTTAATCTGATTTTAGCTCTTTTGGCTATTTTTAATGAAATACGAGTGATTAAATTGTGAATACAAAAGCCTAAGTTATAAATTATAGGTCGCTAATTCACTGAAAATAATTTGTAGTCTTCGTGAAGCTAAATCTCGTCGGAAAAAATAAAAATTAAAATAATGACAGTCTAACACCTGTAACATTTATAAAAAGAACATTGAAAATCTTAAAGTTGCCACTAAAACGAAAATATTAATTTTTTCCCTAAAAACCTTGCTGCGCCACCATTTTAGGGTGCACAAATCTAAAATAATTAAACAAATTATAGAAGTTTGTAGTTTCCAAGTATTGAGAAAACCATTCGAGTGCCTGATTTATAACAACCAGAAATTACTTGCTTTTTCCTAAGTAGAAAAATCGATTTAAAACATAAAATGTTTGTCAAACAATATTTAGTAACATTCAATGTTGCCAATGTCACCACACTAAAAATCGCTGTCATTATTGTACTAGTGCAATAATGGATTTGCATTAATATACCGTAATTTACTGCTTTTGTTCTACGCTGTTAGTAGACAACAATACGCTTGTAGAAAAATCACATTTATTAGATTTTGACTTACCTGAGGTCAAATTTTGTCCTATTATTTCTGTGGCAATTTTGCCTGTTATTATGAAAACCAGTAAAGTTTATACGGTAATAAAAAGGGGTACATTGGAGAACTAGGGAAAAATATTACGCTATTATCAATCACGCGTAACAATTTCATGAGTTGTTTGCTTTTTTATATCATTACCTTTGTCGTTTTATCATCATTTATTTTTAAGTCATATCTTCCAATTCCTGGTTCCGCATAACAAGCAACACAACATCAGCATACAAAGCAGCTTTAGATCCAGCACATAATTTTATTTTTATATTTCTACAAGTTTTAAAATTAAATTTCACCAGATCTGGTGATTTTTATCTTAGTCTGGTGATTTTGGTGAAAACTTTTGTAAAAATTCTAATATCTGATTTTTTCGAAATGAAACAATTATTATTCGAGCATTTTCTACATTTTCAACCAGGCACTTGATTATTTCGTCAAGATTTTTCAAAAATGTCGAAAAACAACCAAATTGGTTAAAAATACGAGTAGTTCAATTGGTTTTTTGCACGATTTTACTAGACAGGATCGAAACTAACAGTTTATTTTTGTCTTTTTCGAATTCTTTTTCATCTAGAAACACAATTATATCGCAAAATTTCGTTAAAAACAATCCAAAAACTCAACAATTTTTTCAAGAATTTTAAGCACATTTTTGAGATAAAAACAAAGAAAATTCTAAAAATTTCGTTGAAATAGACAAAATCAACTCGAAATTGATATTATTTTTAGCTTGTTTCGCTTGACTTACTTACTTTTTGAACCAGAGGCTCATTTATTTTGCAAAACCTTATCCAAACATGCTTAAAAACCACAAAGACAATTGATATTGATGTTATTTTGTTTGTTTTACTCAATTTAACTAGTTTTTGAGCAAAATAAGACAAAAATAAGCTGAGAATGTTTTTAGCACGTTTTTGTACTACAATCTCAGGTTTTTTTTCGAGATTTCGCCAAAACGAACTTAAAAATCAACATATGAAGTCGAAAATTATATTCATTTTGCATTTCTTGAGAGTTTTAACATGTTTTTCAGCTAGAAACGCCAAATTGGTTAAAAGCAAGCCAAATAAAAACAGAATTAGGCCGAAAATGATATAATTTTTTCCTTTTTCGAAAATTCAAGTAGATTTTTAAGCTGAAAACTCTGTTTTTTCGCGAGCCAATCAAGAATCACTAAATTGTTATAAAAAAAGATTATATTATGATATTTTTACCTAACACTTAAGCTTTAACTTGATTACTTCCTCAAATTTTCTTGAAGGAAAAATAATCTGAAACCACCGAATTGGTTTAAAAATAGTTCTATTTGTTTTTTTGCAAGATATTACTAAACAAAGTCGAAAATGACAACTTATTTTAGTTTTTTCGAATGCTTATTCAGCTAGAAACACAATTATTTTGCAAAATTTTGTCAAAAACAAGCCACAAACTCAACAAAATAGCGCTAAAACGACATTTTTTTTTGTCTTTTTTGAAAGTTTAAGGATGTTTTTGAGAGATAAAACCACATTTAAACACAGGCCTTAAAACAGGCTAAAAAATTACAACATCGAAATTGATATCATTTTTTAGTTTGTTTTGCTTGACTTACTTCTTTATTTTGCAAAATCTTGTCACAAACAGAATTGAAATTGATGTTATTTTGTTTGTTTCATTCGCTTCATTAACTGGTTTTGAGCAAAAATAAGTCAAGAAACCACATATTTTGGCCCAGATTTTTTTACTAAAATCTCAGGTTTTTCGCTAGATTTCGGTAAAACAAACTAAATAATCAAGAAATTACGTCTTCRAGAAATACGTAATTTTTGCATTTTTCAGGCGTTTTAGCACGTTTTTCAGCTAGAAGTGCAATCATTTTGCAAAATTTTGTTGAAAACAAGTCAGCAGATCACAGAATTAGACCGAAAAGCATGTCATTTTTGTTTTCTTTTAAGAGTTTAAGCAGATTTTTAAGCTGAAAACTCTGTTTTTTTGCGAGAATTTCCAATAGCGTGTCAAAAATCACTAAATTGTTATAAAACAAGATTATATTATGATATTTTTACCTAACACTTAAGCTTTAACTTGATTACTTCCTCAAATTTTCTTCAAGAAAAAATAATCTGAAACCACCTAATTGGTTAAAAATAGTTCTATTTGTTTTTTGCAAGATATTACTAAACAAAGTCGAATGCTTATTCAGCTAGAAACACAATTATTTAGCAAAATTTTGTCAAAAACAAGCCACAAATTCAACAAAATAGCGCTAAAACGACGTTTCTTTTGTCTTTTGTAAGTGTTTAAGGCATTAAAACATGCTAAAAAATTACAACATCAAAATTGATATCATTTTTTAGTTTGTTTTCCTCGACTTACTTTGTTATTTTGCAAAATTTTGTCACAAACAGGATTGAAATTGATGTTATTTTGTTTGTTTCATTCGATTCATTAACTGGTTTTGAGCAAAAATAAGTCAAGAAACCACATAATTTGGCCCAGATTTTTTACTAAAATCTCAGGTTTTTCGCTAGATTTCGGTAAAACAAACTAAATAATCAAGAAATTACGTCTTCCAGAAATACGTAATTTTTGCATTTTTCAAGTGTTTTAGCACTTTTTTCAGTTAGAAGTGCAATTATTTTGTAAAATTTTGTTGAAAACAACTCAACAGATCACAGAATTTGACCGAAAAGCATGTCATATTTGTTTGTTTTTTAAGAGTTTAAGCAGATTTTTAACCTGAAAACTCTGTTTTTTTGCTTAAACTTTAACTTGATTATTTCGTCAAATTTTCTTGAAGAAAAAATAATCTGAAACCACCAAATTGGTTAAAAATAGTTCTATTTGTTTTTTGCAAAGATATTACTAAACAAAGTAGAAAATGACAAGTTATTTTAGTTTTTTCGAAAGCTTATTCAGCTAGAAACACAATTATTTAGCAAAATTTTGTCAAAAACAAGCCACAAATTCAACAAAATAGCGCTAAAACGACGTTTCTTTTGTCTTTTTTGAGTGTTTAAGGATGTTTTTGAGAGATAAAAACATATTTAAACACAGGCCTTAAAACAGGCTAAAAAATTACAACATCGAAATTGATTTTATTTTTTAATTTGTTTTTCTCGACTTAGGAGTTCGTTATTTTGCAAAATCTTATCACAAACATGATGTTATTTTGTTTGTTTCATTCAATTTATTAACTGGTTTTGAGCAAAAATAAGTCGAGAAACCACACAATTTGACCGAGATTTTTTTACTAAAATCTCAGGTTTTTGGCTAGATTTCGGTAAAACAAACTAAATAATCAAGAAATTAAGTCTCTTCGAATTACATAATTATTGCATTTCTCGAGCACGTTTTTCAGTTAGAAGTGCAATTATTTTGCAAAATTTTGTTGAAAACAAGTCAACAAATCACAGAAAAGCATGTCATTTTTGTTTTTTTCTAAGAGTTTAAGCAGATTTTTAAGCTGCGGTTTTTTTACGAGATTTTGCCATACAAATCGTCATCTGGTGAAAATTTGGCAAATTTTTCAACTCGGATTTGGTGAATTTTAATCTGACAAGACTGGCTATTTGGTATATGTATCGAAAAGCATTTGTTTGGAGTGAGGCATTTATGGTTATTTTTTAAGCCGAAGCAGGTCAACCGTTGATCGTTTTGTTTGGCAAGTTTTCAGGCGAATGAAGCGATGGTACATTATCGCACGTATGCGGTCATTACTCAATATTGAGTGCAGTTCACTAGGGCGATACGTTACAAGTCGTAACGTAAACGTTGTGCCGACAGCCCCATAATTCGTTGTGAAAACTTGTGAATTCCAAGCCCTCACGCAGCCGACTAACAAACATAATATTCTGTTTCAGGCCATGCGGAAACAAAATCTCACACACGCCATCCACACACCGGAAATGCACATCATCGTTCAATCCGAGCTGACAGTCGTACGAATCTCAGCTACGAATACAGCCCCAATTCTCCCAAACCGGAGATCATCCAGATGTACTCCAAACAGAATGACAAGTTGATGCTGGAGTGCGCGGTCAATATAAACTTTAGTACCAGCATTTGGCTCAAAAACGGACAAATTGTGCAAACTATACTCAAGGACAACACTAATAATAAACGTGTTATTGGACATAGGTTCCTAGTGGACGCGAGCGGGAATTTGTTTATTGACAATGTTAGATTGGAGGATGATGGGAAGTGGCAGTGCGAGGCGGAGGATGCGTTCGGATTCGTCGTCACGGGAAGACCTATACAGCTTACTATCCTAGGTAAGGAAATGTTTATTATGAACTTGGAAGAGATTACGAGATTGCTAAACTAATCGCTTTAATTAAGAATGATTTTGTGTTTTATTAAAAAGCTTTGAACGAGAACAAAAACGCTTTGTTACTTGTGAGGATATAATTTAGTGTATTTAATTTTCACCAGCATCTTCCGTTCTTATGTAAAGAGTTACTCCAACAATCAGCATTTAAGATAAGACAATCAGAAATTCAGTACACAAGAAACTTTAGAAATATGGTTTTCGAGATTTCGTCATGTTTCTTGGTATTTTGGGAAGTTTCCTTTTATTATTGATTTTATTACTTTCTATTACCTACTATTTAATTATTTTTACTTTATTTTTTGCTAAAAATGTGCATTTACTCGTCAAAACGAATAAAACCCATGAGTAATGATGAATGAAAAATGACTTTAATAACGAGGTGCATAGTAATTTTTTTCCGAAATCGCAAACTTAGACAAAATTTGTTCAAAATTCTTTTTCGAGGTTAGGTTATTAGTAACATGACAGTTCACAAATGAACAAAAACACGATTAAACCCGTCACACCAAACTTTTATTTCAAACACAACGTGTTTCGACCACTTTACATTTATTTTTTGACATTTGACATTTTTTTCTGTCTATTTAAGGATACTGATGATCTTGTATATGTTTTTTTACAGTTATTTAGTAAAGGGATAAAAATTTTGCCAATAAAAGCCACAAATAACACTAAACAGTGTTCCTAAATTGTAACTCTGTTTAGTGTTAATTATACAGAGTTTAGTTATATTATACAGCTTCTTTGTTTCCTCTTTTAATAGCCTATAGCAAAAAAACTTGGAAAATTATTTTTCCAGCAGAAATAAATAGAGTCAAAGTGCAAACTTTAAACCCTCATAACTTCGAAATTTTTATAGATAATTTTTTTTAACATGTTTTCGATGTACCAGGTATCTTACCTGTATAATTTTTCCGACTTTGACTTTCCCTACCCCCAACTAACGAGTAGAGGGGAGAAAAGGGAATGGGGCCGTTGTTTGAATTCATAACCTTATCTCTATTTTTAAATATTTTAAGACTCTCGAAAGCGTCAAAAAATTTACAATTATTGACTACTCTAATAATTTTTACATTAGTTTAATTGATTCTATGGTCATTTTAAAAAATATGTTGGGATCGGCGTGTTTGCCCAATATATTTTTGTTCACAAATTTCATAAATCTCCGACTTTTCTAAAGGTCCCACTTTATCTTTAGAATTACCAAGAAAACTTTTGAGACTTCTGTCAGAGTTGTAAACAACTTGGAAGTCAAGATTTTTGAAAATTTTACTCAAACCTCTTGTAATTAAGGGAGTATAAGGTATAGTTATTTATTGTAAGAGTGTGTTAGATAGCGTTTTATCCACGCAAGAATATTTAACCACGAGAACGTCAGTTTGAGCGGTCAATTTTCTTAAGTGGATAAAACGCGACTAACGCACGATTGAAATATAACGTTTTATCCACAATCACAGGCCCAAATTATTCCAAACTTAATTAAAAATTAAACTGACATTTAAACGTCACGCCAAATGTGCTTTCGATTAAACGTAGTAAGTGTTACTTTATACATATCTAAAGTGTGGAATAAAGTCTCTTTATAGAGTGATTGTGGATAAAAAGTTATAAACTTTGTTTTCTCTGGTTTGTTTGTAAAGGTCGTGGAATTACTGACCATTTTTCTATGCTTAACTTTCTGAACCATTTTGTTAATTATGTTAGTATCAAAACCATTACACTTCGCTGCATCTTTAATAATTTTGAGCTCAATACTTTGAAAATATTAATTTCACTTGTGAAAAAGAAGTGGAAGGAAAGTTACCATTTTTAGATACTTTAGTAATTAGAACTAATAACTCATTAGAATTTGATATTTATAACAAAAACTCTAGTACACTTCGCTATAACATCGCTGACTCACATTTTTTTTTCACTTTTTAATTCACAGGCTTGTTAATTTTCCCTTGACTCATGCAAGGTTTGAAAAAGAGCTAAAAACTATTAAAGATGCAGCGAAGAGTAATGGTTTTGATGTTAACATAATTAACAAAATGGTTCAAAAAGTTAAATATAGAAAAATGGTCAGTAATTCCACGACTTTTACAAACACTGCAAAGAAAACACAGTTTATTACTTTACCTTATACTCCCTCAATTACAAGAGGTTTGAGTAAAATTTTCAAAAATCTTGGCTTCCAAGTTGTTACAACACTTGCAGAAGTCTCAAAAGTTTTCTTGGTAATCCTTAAGATAAAGTGGGACCTTTAGAAAAATCGGGGATTTATGAAATTAATTGTAAAGATTGTGAACAAAAATATATTGGGCAAACACGCCGATCAGTTAACACTAGGTTTAAAGAACACATAGCTCATTTAAGATATAACTGATTTGAAAAATCAACATTGTTAAATTAGTTAGTTTTTATTCTCATCTGAGGATGACCACTGTGGTTGAAACGCGTCGTGTTTGAAATAAAAGTTTGGTATGACGGGTTTAATCGTGTTTTTGTTCATCGTTTTGATACCAAGAGAATATAATAAGTAGTTCACAAATGACAGTTTACTTCAGTGTTGTCAGATTATTTATCATTTCGTTCATAAACTGCAAAACTAGCCACCATACAAAACCTGTTATTTACTGTTATTAATGTTCGCAACCAACAATTGACACAACTGTAATATAATGAACTACTTTAGTGCCGATTTTATGTAACTTTAGTGTTTTTAAGATTAAGATTATTTTCTGTTGAAATTTGAAAAAGTTATTACAGAGATTATTATGAATTCAGTGCAAGGTGCTTTTTCTCTAGATACGAAATCAAACTTTTAAATTGATTTTCTGTACAACTGTAGCTACGTAGAAGGCAGAGATTCGAAGCTCATGTTTCAGAACTCGGTTAATCCAGCTGACTGAACCAAACTTTCACTCATGAATGTCATAAGTTGTAGTCAGATGTCGGAAACGAATTAAAAATTTTCACACATTCCAACTTTTCATCTTTTGCTTAAACATAAAACATTCCAATAAGTTAGGAAGTGTTTCTGATACAGAATTTGTTTTTCTTTCATGAAAGTATCAAAATCGGGGTAATGCGAAGTAGTACGATTTTTTTCAAATATACATATTTTGTCTTGATTTTATTGATTAGCTTCATTGTGCCAGTCAAGTATTTAATAAGGCATGAGGTGAACACTAAAAGCATTTTAAAATGCCCTCAATTAATGATGGATGATGGTTTCAACACACCAACGGCCGCTTCGTTAAAATAATTGGGAACGCAACTCCATATTTGACACATCGCTTATTGAATTTCACTGTTTTTGTAAATAATGTAATCTGCATATATCTACATGTATATTTTATGTAGGCCTTTGCGTATAAATAAATACAAAGAGCAATATGATTACCGTCTAATCCTATAAAAATGATCTTTTGATTTTTTTATATTATTTAAAATGTTAAAAATTGTAAAAAGTTGAAAAAAAATAATAAAATTTAGTTACATGTGTTGACATTAACAATAAGCTTATTAAATAAATAAATAATAAAATTAATTAATTACTCTAAATTAAATGTTTTTCTAATTTTGACTTATTATTGTCATTTTTCATTAGAAATTTGAAAAAATATTGGAAATATTTTCTTTATTTGCTGCTTTTTGAGATTGACAATAATGAAATTGTCTTATTTGACGCTTTGGAACCAGATTTTAATATATTTTTTCAATTTTGATATTTTTTTTAAACAATAATTTTCACTAAATGTAGAACATATTGTATACAGGATGCGCTAGAACTCGCACTTCAGAGACAAATTTCAAGTAAGATAAGATACCAGGAACATGGAAAAAATGTTTAAAAAATCCTTTCTGTAAAAAAATACATTTTTATGTCTATTTAATAATACTGATGATCTTGTTTATGTTTTTTTACAATTATTTAGTAAAGGTACAAAAATTTTGCCAATAAGAGCCACAAATAACATTGAATAGAATTACAATTTATGATACAGCTTCCTTGTTTCGTCTTTTAATAGCCTGTAGCAAAAAAACTTGGAAAATTATTTTTCTAACAGAAATAAATAGGGTCAAAGTGCAAAATTTAAACTCATAACTTTGAAATTTTTATACATAACATTTTTTCTATGTTCCTAGTATCTTAACTTATTGGCATTTCTCTCTGGGGCGCGAGTTCTGGCGCACACTATACATTATGTTTGTACGAAGAAAACTAATACCTTTCAAAATATGAAGAAAAAATATGGGTTCTAATTTACAACTAGAAAGTTGAATATAGCTCAAAATATACCATGACATTTAGAAAAATTCTAATTTGTCAGCTTATACTATACAGAGTGCGCCAGAACTCGCGCCCCTGAGAAAAATACCATATAAAGTAAGATACCAGAATCATGGAAAATATGTTAAAAAACATTATCTATAAAAATTTCGAAGTTATGAGGGTTTAAATTTTGCATTTACACTATATTTATTTCTGTAAAAATAATTTTCAAAGTTTTTTGCTATAGGCTATTAAAAGAGGAAACAAGGAAGCTGCATCCTCAGTTATAACTCAGTTCACTGTTATTTGTGGCTTTTATTGGCAAAATTTTTGTACCTTTACTAAATAATTGTAAAAAATCGTATACAAGATCATCAGTATTATTAAATAGACAAAAAAAAATGTCAAATGTCAAAAAATAAATGTCAAAATTTCTTGACAGATAGAATTTTTTAAACATTTTTTCTATATTCCTGGTACCTTACTTTATATGGTATTTTTCTCTGGGGCGCGAGTTCTGGCGTATTAAAAGTATTAAAAGTCATTTATTTTAAAAAAATTTTGAAATCAGGCAATAAATAAAAATTCTACGGCGTTTACCGTTTTTTAAAAATCACCCGTATAAACATAATTGAATTAAAGGGACTTTAAACTTAATGTTGCTTTAGAATGAAAATTTT